GAGCAGGCGTTTGCCGCCCTCTGACCTTGCAATCACAGCTTTTTCTTTCTGCTTCTCCCTCTCCTACACACTGCACTGCAGGGTTCCTACCAGATGTCTTTGACCACAACTCCCATCAGCCCCAGCAAGCCTAGCCAATGCCCATAGACCACCACAGCATGTTCAGCAGCTTTAGCCGATGCTCAGCCTGCCCTGCCCACATCCAGTATCACAGAAGTGGGGAAAGACTTTCGGTCCAAGGGCCACGCTCCATTTTGGAGGTGAAATTGGGGGATGTGTCCCAATGGGGGTGGGGCAGAAGGCAAAGGGCAGGCTGAAAATACAGAAAGTCTCAGCCCAGCACAAAGCCAGGAGTGAATCCAGGGCGATCTTGATAAACTTGAGCACTGGGCTCAATGCAACAGAATGAGTTTCAATAAGGACAAGTGCCAAGTTCTCCACGTAGGAAAAAGAAACCAAATGAATCGATACAAGATGGGGAATACGTGGCTCAAGAGAACTGAAAAAGCAAAAGATCTCATAGTAATTCTGGACAACAGGCGACGCATGAGCCAACAATGCAATGCAGCTGCCAAGGGGGCAAATGCTATTTTGGGATGCATTAGCAGAAGTATTACTTCCAAATCACGAAAAGTAGTAGTTTCTCTATGAAAGCTGAGAACCTTCCTCACATCACAGTTTTGGTCACACTCATGCCTATTTAACAAGCAGGACGCATGCAATGTGCTGAGCAAAACCTGTATCCTAAGCTGTGCTCTCTTTTGGACACCTGCAGGCTGCAAAGAAGCCTAGCCTGATACACCTGAGTGGGATCCTTGGCCAGGTGTAACTGGGGGATCAAGAACACCTGGGGACCATGCAGACTGGCTTGGTTTTACTCTCAGTGGTGGCAGCCAGTACCAGCTGGCTATTCTGTGCCAGGCCTTGTGCCCACAGCCAAGGGGCTGGGAGACACCAGCTCACCCCCAAGGTAGCCTTGCCCCCTATTCCTTGTTTTACATGGCCACTAGACATGATCGTTTGCCCACCTGGTGCAGGTGTTTTGGAGGGGAAGGGAATGATTTGCAGAATAGTGTGCATTGCGGCTTCTACCGTCTCCTCTGCCCATGGAACCGCGGCCTGTGCCCCACGCCCTGTTGCCTCACCAGGCTTGGAAGCAGCGGCTGCAAGAAGGAGAAAGTCAGCATCCAATTCCCAGCTCCAAGGCTGGAGCGCCTTCTCCTACCTCAGGTCTAGGAATCGGAGCATCCTACTGGCCCTGAGATGTTGCCTATGGCCAAGGGCTGGGATTATTTTGGCCTTTTCAGCCCACCCTTTCTGCCTTTCTGAGATTCCTCCTTGTTTGGGCACCTGGTGTGGGAGCTCTTGGCAGGTCAGAGTTTTCCTCCTGTGAGTGTTAAGTAAAAGTTCCTGGCCGGCAGATCTTGCCTTCATCGGGGTCTGTGCATCTCAGTGCCGGCATCCAGACCTGGCAGCATTCAGCCGAGTCTTGCAAATGGACATTGCTTCCTCTTGGAGCTGGCAAGTTGGAGTCGGAGTCGGTTTGGTCTGGGCCACTCCAGGTTGACCCTAATAGCCTCTGCCACTGATGGTGACCAAAAACCTCTGAGCCTAGTGGCTGATGGCCATTGCCATGGACTGCATCTTAAATGTAAGGGAGGTGGTTGAGGCCCCATCGGTGTGGGTGTTCAAGGATAGGCTAGACGTGCACATGGTAGGCATGTTGTGAATGGAGCTGGCTGGAGCTGGGGGTCAGACTAGATGGCCCAAGAGGCCCCTTCTGACTCGCTCTGTTTCTGTGTTATAAGTCTGTCAGTATATCAGTCAATCTATCAATCTGTCAGAGAGCTTCATCTATTGGGGGGTACAGAAATCAGCTATCCGCCCGCCCACCTGCCCGCCCACCCACCCATCCCTTTCTCATCATCCAACCCTGCTTGTCATATGCTTACGTAAGTAGCTTCTGTGATCACCACCACTTACATATAAATTCTTTATTATTTAGAAACAAAGAAACAGAGCATGTCAGAAGGGGTCTCCTGGGCCATCTAGTCTGACCCCCGGCTCCAGCCGGCTCCACTCACGACATGCCTACCATTTACAAATATACAGTTTGATTAAATTAAATACCTAAGTGGTTCATGAATGATATTTCCATCCCACCCTTCCTTGAACATACTTAGGGTGCTTTCCCATCCCTATTTTATCCTCACAACAGCCTTGAGGGGTAGGCTAGGCTGAGAAATAATCCACTGACACCCAGTGGATCTCATGGCTGCTGGACTGATTTGGGATTTAAATCAGGTCCGCCGAACCCTACTCTGACCCTATAGCCAAGAGGCAGACAGTCCGCTGCTCTCGGGACTGTTTTGGACTACAATGTCCATAATCCCCAGCCCAAATGGTCAATGGTGAGGGATGATAGGAATGTTGTCTGCACCATCTGGAAGGCACCAGCTTGCCTGTGCCTCCTCAGGCCACTGTTTCACACCACCTCCATGCTTAACAATACTTCAGTATATTATAGAACAATTTACTCCTTAAAAATCCAACGCTCTGGCACATTTCCACCTCCCATTCCAGTCCATTAAGAACAACAATAATAAAAAGACATTAGGAAAGTCCATTAAACGAGGGCTCACTGAAGGATCTCCATTACCCCTAAAAATCCAGTTTTCACAGGCAAAAACCCCAAAACAAAACTCTGTTTCAGTGCATGAATCATTTACCACTAGGGAGAGACTTACAGTGAGCTTGATAAAGGGGGTGGGTGTGTGTTTTAGATTTCAGACGCCTGAGGTACACACTGAAACTGTTTAGGAGGATAAAACAGCCCACGAAGGCTGGCTAGAGTCGCAAGCCAGATCTGACAGGTGGAGCACATTGGGGCCCCCGAATGCCAAGCTTGGGCATTTCCGCTTGCACTTCTGTTCTCTTGCTGGAGAAAGGAGCTGTGAACGACTGGAAACTGTGGAAGCAAGCTGGGGCAGGGAGATGTTGATGGGCTGCAGCTCCCATCATCCACGACCGTGGGCCTAGCACATTCTCCATCCTTGGAATAAATTTTTCCATAGAAAAATCTCTCCTGCCAGAAAGGGGGAAAACATTCAAAGGGGATTGTTTGGTATTTCTGGCGACTGAATTTGCCGTTCCAGGGTTCAGTAGCGAGGAGTGTGGGTAGAGAGATTTCAGTAGAAGGGACTGGGGAGAGGACAGGAGACAAAGGTCTATTCTTGGATGCATTCAATGAGGCTCCCCATTGTATGGGCATTTCCTTTGGCCATCTTGAGGCCAAAGAATCACAGCTCCTCTACGCTGCCATATCCACGTATCGCCCATATTCACCTCTGCCCCAACGGCTGTTGACACGGACACCTCGCTCAACATCGGAGGCCTTCCTCCAACCGCCACCTCTGAGGAAGGCTCAGCTGGTGGCGACAAGGACAAGGGCCTTCTCTGTGGTGGCCCCCAAACTGTGGAACAATCGCCCCACAGAGGCCTGCCTTTCACTATTTTCCAGTGTCAGGTTTAGACAGCCCTCTTGCTGAGGGATTGACCAACTCCAAACGGCACAGGGACGGGAGCGGGGAGGGGTTGGGGGGCAGTACCAGCCGCGTCTCTTCAGACCTAGCACTTTGGACTGATTTTCGCTGTTAGGCTATAAACATATAGCTTTTAATGTGGTTTTAAAAATTTTGCAATATATAAAAAATCTATATTGTTTTATTGTAGTTATTACTGTTGTTCACCACCCAGGGAACTATGGCTACTGGGCATTATTGAAATAATTAAAATAAAATAAAATAAACAAATAAATAAAATAATAACACACCTTCTCCTTCATGCTTTAAGAATCGTCAGTGATATCCTCTTCGTGCTTACACCAAACCCAAAGCCTTCTTCCTCAAAGCCCCCAGTTCTTTGAAATGCTCCCCCATGGAGGTTTGTTTTGCCGCGACACAACCAATTTTTTTCTTGCTTTGCTCAACTGAGACTTGGTTTTCCAACCTGTGGCTGCCTGTGGGAGTTACCGATTTAAAATAAACCTTCTACTACTGCCATTACTACTACTACTAGATGCAGAGCAGCTGCTGAGCATGTACTTCCCAGTTTCCAGACCATACATTCTACCTTGTAAGTTGCTTTGAAATCAGTGAACAAGTGATGCATAAATAAAGGAGATCCCAGGTCCAACATCATCCTTTCCCCACATCAGCTAGGCAAGGCAATGAGGTTGCTCAGGGTGCCAATTATTTTCCCCCACTGTTAAAAAAAAAAAAGGATTTGAGCCTTTAACATGCCCCAAAACTGCCCCAGGGATGCTCCAAAAGTTGCTTGCAAGGACACCTGCTTCACCAGGGGATTCCAACTAGTGGGTCACTCTGTCCCCGAGCCAATAAAAGGGCACGGGGTCCCACAGTCCAATCAGAGCACTCGTCAGGCTATGCTGGGGGAGGAGCTCCCGTCCCCCTGGCAACCAAGCCTCGTGCTTTGGGCACCCCCAGACTTTCCATCCAGCCAACAAAGAGGCAAAGTTTGCAACTATCTACACGTTCCACAGAATAGAACAAGAAACAGAGGAATTGGTTAGAATTCTAGATTCTCCCACTTCAGATGTGGAATCCTGTTTTGCATCCCCACTGCATGAATAACGAGAATAATAATAAAAACAGCAATGACACTTCCGTGAGGAATGAAATGAGCTGCGTGGAACAAGAGTGTGGCTCCGTCTGCTCGCTCACTACGTGCTTGGCTCCTTTGCAGAAGAAAAGATTCATAAGTATGACTCACCCTCCCATTTGAGACATTCCTAACTTCTCACACTTCAGTCTAACATCGTATTCTGTGCAATGAATATGTCAATTTGGATAGTATTTACAATTTATTTGTATTTAGGGGAATGGCGAGCAGGCAGGCAGGCAGGCAGGCTGACTGTGAAAACAGGTTAGCACTGTCTGCACCTTCGGTAAATAGATTTCGGAAGCACATGGCCTTCTTACCTGCGTAGTGGTCGAACACGGTAGGTACGTATTCCTCTGGGAAAGCATCGTTGGCATAACTCATCAGCAGGCAGGTTTTGCCAACAGCCCCATCACCAACCACCACGCACTTCAACATCTTCTTCGGGCCACTTTCCGGGTTGGGGTCCTCTCCCTCTTGGCTGCTCATCTTGGTAGATTCTGGGATCCTTCCCTCCTCCTTGTTCCTCCAATTTTTTCAGGGGCGCATCTAATCAGTCGAACACAAAAAGGGGGTGTGAGGTCGTCTTTGGCTTCTTCCTGAGTTAAGTTTTGTCACTGCCCGAGTGATGGACGTTCATGAAATCATAACTTTCGATTTGCAGCCTCTTCCAACGTGATCCTTTAGAGCCCGAGAGAAACATGCGAGGGAATAAATAGACGACCAACAAGCGTGTTAGCTCAAGTCAGGAAATCTTCATCTTGGAGGCAGAGGCTTCGGTATTTCACACAGCTTAAAAATAGCAGCAGTCCGAGGAGTGAAATGCCTTCGCTTTTTCTCCAGATTGGCCTGAAAAAACAGGGATTTGAACTAGATCCATCCCATTTTCCATTCCTTTCCAAATAGAAGCGAGGGAAGCCGGAGGGATTTAATGGAAGCGGTTTCTTTCCTCCTGGCTTTTTTCTCATGCAGCCCCTTTATTTTCTCCGGCTTGCTGTATGTCAGGAAATCATGGGTTTCCTGCTGAACTCCATATTAGGATCAGTGGGGCTCATGAAGGGCTCCAAACAATAGAAGCTCTGTGTGTGTTTGTACGTTACAGGAACTCTGCCAGGACATGGAGGAAGAAAAACACTAGAGGTCTCCCTGCAGGCTGAAGTTCAGTGGTTTCCTGCTCCAGAAGCCTGTCCTGAATGCCGTCACTCCAGAGGTGATGGGACCGGTGCCGAAATGAGCCCTTTCTATGTGTCGGGACAGCCTTTTCTTGGGAGCTGGCATGTCAGTATAAAAGGATTGTCAGGAATACACACACACACACACACACACACACACACGTTGGAGACGTTACCCTTGGACTGACCCTTGTGAAGAGTGACTGCAAACATCTGGGATGCGTTAAGGAGAGCTGTGGTCCTTCCAGGGCACGGCTGCACCAATTCTGCATCTTCTCTGGTCCTGCACGGTTGCTGTGGTGCTTCCCCGTAGGCATCAGCTGGCCGGAGATGCTCCTGCCTCCTCCAGGGATGCTCCATGATTGAATGTGCTTTACTGTGCTGGATTTTAGGCACCTGTCCCACCAGCCTCTAAACCAAGTGGTGGAGCTCCCATCCCCAGCCCCCAAACATAGGGAAGTTGCGCCTTTCCTTGGCCATCCTGAACTCCTGGTGAACCCTTTTGTGCAGAGGAAAGCGTCACATGGCATAGTATTATTTTAACAGGTGACATGAGCATTATGTAACCTTTCCCCATTGTCACCCAGCCCAGGTTATCCATCCCTGGGTTACCCTAAACCAGTGCTCTGACTGGTGCTTTTGGCACTCTGCAAAGAGCCAGCCTACGGTCTGATGAAATTAACATCCATAGCAATCTACAATTCCCAGGAACTGCTAGAAGAAAACCACATGCCCAGAAATTTAACTTCCTTAAATTTAACAGGCTCTTTAACATATCCTGTGACTTTAACATATCTTAGCTATTTTAAATTGTTTCAATTAATTTTTAATTTTCAAACATTTCATTGTAAGATCTTCATTTGCACAATAGAGATTTAACACTTCCTTTAGGAAGCCCCAGAATGAGCAGAAATTCCTGTGCTTGGCTTGGGACAGGCTGCAACCACCACCAATCTGCCTTGCTCCAGAAAAAGAGCATTCTGGAAGTTCATCATATTCAGGAGAAAATGAACTCGAGGCTTTAAATGTTCAAATGGGAAGGAAGCAACATTGACAGAGTGGTCCAAGCTTTGCTCTGAGAGTTCTCAAGAAAAGAAGTGTTTAAAGAAAATGTGTGGAAGAACATTCACTTCCTCCTGTGTAAAGGCAGATGCGAGATCAGGGCCATTGCAGGTTAATTGGCCCAAAGGCCAGCTCTCAGACTGATGTGCTCCAGATGAGTGGAATTTGTTCACATAGTAACTGTGTGTTTGTCTGTGTGTGGAGTTGTGGCATCCATTCCTAATATATGGGCAGAGTATCTCTTTGCACAGACTAGGGTAGTATGGCAGCCTAAATTCAACAAGCGTGGTGGATACTTGTTTTCAAAGGGTGTCTCCTTATAAAAGCATAGAACGGAATGCAAGAGACACTCTTTGCTTGGGGAAAAGTCTCTTCACACACTCCGGCCAGCACCTTGTTAAAAATAAGCAGCAGGGCAAGCTCCTGAGCTCAGGCTTGGAGCGGCCTGTAAGAATCCAGTCGAAGAATTCCCCAAGCAGAAGGATGGGATTCACACCGCGGATGATCCTGGCTTAATGTAGTGAACATCTCCAGAGGCTGAATGGTGGGTGGAATGAAGAGACTTCTAAGCCAGATAACCTCCTGCATGGTGCTAGCTTATCCTCACCATTTTTGGGGGTGACACTTCTGGAAGTCTGCTGGCACGGACACACAGTGACTTCTCTTTATTGGTCACCTCTGTTCACCAGATATTGGGCTAATTGCTAAGGCAAAACAACAATGTTGCATGTATATTCCACCTTCCTTCCTTTCGTGAGGAACCCAAGGCAGTTTATGTAGCTCTATTTTGTCCTCAGAGCAACAACCCAGTGAGGTAGGTTGGACTGAGGGGGAGTGACTGGCCCAAAATCATCCAGTGAACTTTATGGATAAACTTGTCAGGGGATGCCCCCCCCCTCGAATGTCTATTGCATGGAGATAAGAACTTTTTTTCCTGCAGGAGATGATGGTGTGGCCTGCAGAAGAAGGTGGCAGGCCTGATAGGGAATTACCACGGGCCGCATCTGGCCCATGGGCCATAGGTTCCCCATGCCTGCTTGATTGTGAACCAGATGCTGTGCCTCGGAAGTCTAGGCAAGCAGTCCTGCTTCCTGCTGGAGGGCCAACATGGTGGAGAAGGGTGTGAGGTCCAAGGGAACTCCCTGCATTCGAAACAAACACTCTGTGAACACATGGGATCCAGACAAATAAGCATCAGACTGTGCATGCATATACACATGGGAAGGGAAGCTCAGAAGCATGGAATCATAGAGCTGGAAAAACCATGGGAGCACCAGAACCTGTACAGAACTGGCCTCTAGCTATAGATGGAACTGGCATGTCCAGCCAACTTTGCTAAGCTGGAAAGGCACGGGCCTGCAGCTGGATGGGCGACCACATGTGGAAGGCAAGAGGCTTGTCTTATGGGCCCCCCTCCAGCTCCATTCCATTCCTTAAGCCCAATATTGTCAACACTGGCTGGCAGCAACAGTTCTTAAGATTCTCAGGTGGGATTTTTCCCCAATCCTACCCAGGGGCTTGCACCAGGGTGCTTCTTCAGATGCTCTACCACTGAGGCGAAGCATGTTGTAATGGGATCCTGGAGGTCATCCAGTCCAACCCCTGCTTGATGCAGGCTCTGCAGTACAGGATTCTGGTGGAGAGATTGCAGCCAAGACAGAGGAAGGGTACACTTAACCCTCCCCTGTTCTTTCTGCTTCCCCCCCCCCCCCGCCCACACTACTCCATTTCATTCCATCCTCGTGAAGTTTCACCACTTCCAGCTCCCCCCTCCTAAATTATGTGTGCAACACACTATTCCACCCTGACTCTTGACTGGGCTTCCTCTCTGCCCCCCACATTTTGAGGACGGCTTAGCACTGTGGCAAATAGTCCAGACCCTTGTTTTGCTGAGGCTTCGATCGTTTTCTGTGAGGGAATGAATGAACGGAAAGAAACCCCAAAATCCCATTCACCAGAAACAATGCTGCTTTAGTAAGCAGGAATCTCTGTGTCATCGGGAGCAGTGTGCTCGTTCTTGGGTAATTCGCCCACTCGTGATCTTCGAACAGGCCAGACTCCGCTCCCTGCGTACCAGAGAGTGCTTTCCCCTGTAGCCCACAGGGGCCTTTGGAAGGGAGGCTAATCCCACACAGGATTAGTGCAGTGGGTCCCAGTGCCCAAGACCAAGCTCTTCTGGCCACTGCAGTGCTAGCTAGCTCTTTCTCCCCTTGCCACGGTCACCGCTCCCCATTCCTTCTCCAGGGGGCCCAATCCCCCAAGACGAGACCAGTCGAGTTTCTGCTTCCTTGTTCTCATTGCTGCTGGAAAGGCCGCAACAGCAGCAAGGCGAAATGGCACGGAATTCTTGGGCTCCAGCATGGACCCCTGGTGAGATTTGAGCCTTGGCAGGTGCCCAGCAAAGGCTGACTTTTGGTACTGAGCATCTAATAAGGCCACCGTCTCTTCCCGGACATTGGAAGAGCTGCTCCCCATCAAATGGATCAAATGGGTGGGATCCCTTAGGTCACCTCTGCATTACTCCCGGCTCTCAGGATGGTAAGAAGCCGGTGGATTGAACTGGGCAACTGATATTGATTGGCAAAGATCTAGAATGTACAAGACATTGCAAAGAAGGTGTGAGCCGGTAGTGAGAGACCTGGTGTGGTGATGAGAGCATTGGACTGGGGAGCTGGGAGATCCAGGTTCTAGTCCCCACTCAGCCCTGAGACTCACTGCATGCATTTGGGCCAGTCACAGAAGCTTAGCTTGACCTACCTCACAGGGTTGCTGTTGTGAGGATAAGCGAGAGCTATGTAGTCATGCTGGGTTGCTCACAGGAGGATAAAGGGAGGGTGGAGGGCAGGAGAGCCTGGAGGAATGTTGTCCGTGGGGTCATGATGGGTCGGGCACGACTTTGTGACTAAACCAACAAAACAGATGCAGTGCTTTGGATTCAGGCAACCCTAGTGCAGGGTCAGTGAACTGCATGAGCTTCCAGACCCGTGAGCTGCGTGAGCTGCGCACAACTGGGACTGTGCAGCCGAATTGTCCTCTCGTTCTCTTAAGGCATAAGGGACCTGTGTGCTCACAGCGTTCGCTCCAGCCTTCGCGTCATGGCATTCTACTGCCAAGCAGCTGGTGCCAGACTGTTCATTCACTACATTTCTATTCCACCTTTCCTCCCAGGAGCCCAAAGCATCGTGGACAGCTCTCCTCCTTGCCATTTTATCCTCACAACTACCCTGTGAGGTAGGACAGGCTGAGAGGCCTTGAGAAGCCCACAGTGACACCGCGAGCGTCATGGCCAAGTGGGGACCTGAACCCGGCCTCCTGGGCCCCAACGCTGTAAGCCCCTTCATCACGCCTGGCCAGCTCGATTGGCTCCTACCATGGGCCTGGTGCTGCCTGCCAGCTGCTGATCCTGCCACAGCATATTCTTCCCTGTGCTTTGGACTATCCGCAGGGAAATATGCATCTTGTCTCCATGGGGTTCATCCATCGAGCCCTCATGCAAAAATGCAAGAAAGACACCTGGAAAAATCAGGTATTCCCTGTGTCCAGGCAATTTTCTCAGAAGAAAAGGTCTGTCATGAGGCAGGGCTCCTCCAAAGCTTTCTTGCAACGCTTGTTTGCAAAGCTAGCTAGCTTGCTTGCATCCATCCGTCCTTCCTTCCTTCCTTAATGCTATAATAATAATAATAATAATAATAATAATAATAATAATAAAATAGATTTATATCCCACTTTTTTCTTCT